TGCGGCTATATCTCCCACGTGTCGAAGCACGACTTAGAGGCATAACCGCATTGAAAGCAATGTCGCAAGTGAGGTAATCTTCACACAACCCATGTAATACACAAGGGAAAGAGATACATAGTTGGCTTACAATCGCCACTTCACACAATTACATGAATAAAGCATTACATCATCCAAATACAATCAAGGTCCGACTACGGAACCAAAATAAAAGAAGAACCCCAAATGCGACAAGGACCCCGATCGACCCCAACTGGGCTCCACTACTGATCAACTAGAATGAAACAACACAAAGGACAAGATCTTCATCGAGCTCCTCCTAAGCTTGGTTGCTTCATCTGCATGGACTCATCGGCACCTGCAAGCTGGTTTTGGAAGTATCTGTGAGTCACGGGGACTCATCAATCTCACACCCTCGCGATCAAGACTATTTAAGCTTATGGGTAAGGTAAAGGTATGATGTGGAACTGCAACAAGCGACTAGCATATATGGTGGCTAACATACACAAAAGAGAGCGAGAAGAGAAGGCAAAGCACATTCAAGAAATCTATGATCAAGAAGTGATCCTAAAACAACCTACGTCAAGCATAACTCCAACACCGTGTTCACTTCCCGGACTCCGCCGGAAAGATACCATCACGGTAACACACGCTGTTGATGCATTTTAATTAAGGTCAACTTCAGGTTTTCTACAACCGGACGTTAACAAATTCCCATCTGCCCATAACCGCGGGCATGGCTTTCGAAAGTTCAAATCCCTGCAGGGGTGTCCCAACTTAGCCCATGACAAGCTCTCACGGTCAATGAAGGATATTCCTTCTAGCGGGAAGACCCGATCAGACTCGGAATCCCGGTTACAAGACATTTCGACAAGGTAAAACTAAACCAGCAACACCGCCCGAATGTGCCAACAAATCCCGATAGGAGCTGCACATATCTCTTTCTCAGGGCACACCGGATTGTCTAAACTTCCGGTAGGCCAGCCCAGAGTTGCCCCTGGTGGCCATCGGCGGCTGACAAGTTGGACCAACACTCAGAGGAGCACTGGCCCGGGGGTTTAAAATAATGATGACCCTTGGGGGCGCGACCCCCAAGGGAAAAGAAAAGGCTAGGTGGCGAATGGTAAAACCAATGTTGGGCATTGTTGGAGGAGTTTTACTCAAGGCGAACTGTCAAGGGGTTCCCATTATTACCCAACCGCGTAAGGAACGCAAAATCCGAGAACATAACACCGATATGACGGAAACTAGGACGGCAAGAGTGGAACAAAACACCAGGCATAAGGCCGAGCCTTCCATCCTTTACCAAGTATATAGATGCATTGATTAAATAAGATATATAGTGATATCCCAACAAGTAAACATGTTCCAACAAGGAGCAACAACTCCATGTTCCAACAAGGAACATACTTCAATCTTCACCTGCAACTAACAACGCTATAAGAGGGGCTGAGCAAAGCGGTAACATAGCCAAACAACGGTTTGCTAGGACAAGGTGGGTTAGAGGCTTGGTTCAACAATATGGGAGGCATGATAAGCAAGTGGTAGGTATCGCAGCATAGGCATAGCAAAAGAGCAAGCAACTAGCAAGCAAAGATAGTAGTGATTTGGAGGGTATGATCATCTTGCCTGAAATCCCGCAAGGAAGAAGAACGAGTCCATGAAGAAGACAAACGGAACGTAGACGAATGGGTCCTCACAACGCGACATTATCGGAACCAACCCGAAGAAGCAAACACCGGAAAAGAAGCACACAACAAAGTAAACAAACCACACATGAACATGGTATGATATGTGGGATGTGGAATGCGATGCATATGCAAGATTTGACAAGAGATGAATGAACCTGGCCTCAGCTTGGAAATCCAAGTGTGCCACTGGAAAGGTGAGATGAAATCGCTTGAAAACGATATAAAGAATGCCGGAATCGGAGTTACGGTTTGGGAATGGCAAGCAATTCAAATATGGCACCGGTCTGCGATTTACAACAAGTAGCCAACTAGATGCAACAAGATGAACATGCTACAACACTCAAACATGACAACAAAATACATGGCATGGATCCATTCATGATGCTTAACAAAAGAGGAACAGTGAGCTACGGCCAATTCATCCATTAACAGGTTCAAACAAGCATGGCAAAAAATGCATTTGACAAACAGATCTCAGACTTAGTGAAATTAACACTTGTCTGGAATTTCAGATCAGGTAGCACACTTTGGAGCATGAAAACTATATGCTACAGGGCCTGAACATGGCAAAGTAAAGCATGGCATGGAGGTACTCAAAGAGCTTAACAAAAGTCCCTTAGTGACCTTGAGCCAAAAGGGACCAGAAAATACAATTGCAAGCATGTGAACATGGCAAAAACATAATCAGTTCTCAGACTTAGTGAAAACTGGAGCATGCTAAAACAGATATCAAGTAGGCATGTTTACGAGCTCGATGCACTCACTACAGAGCAAGTCATGATAATCTAAGCATACACCCATCAAGGATACACAAAATACAAGCTAGACATGGCAAGAACAATAATATGGCATGCACGGATCAACTACAACACCCCCGGCAAAATCGCTAACAAGTGACAATCTGCCCAGATTCACGAAATGACAAAAGTAGAGCTCGATTGACTCAAGCTAGGGTGCTCCATAATTGCAAACAAAGACATGGATGGAAATAGCACTACAAGATTAACAAAACATCCTTACTGATCATCCTCAAAAGAGGCACGGATCACTAGAAAACAACATGAACATATGGCATATTGAGATAAACAGATCAAGAACTTAGTGGAAATGCTAAGTTCCTGAAATCAGCATTAACGAATGCTCCACTTTGCAAGCTTGTGCTAGTCACCACACACATCACAAAAATACATGGGTTGCACCTCTAGAAAGATGGCAAAACATATAACAAAACTCATGGAGAGCTCAGGGGCATATCATGCACACAATAATCATGGCAAAAATGACAAATATCTAATTGGAGCAGCAGATCTGACAATTATCTCAAATAGCATACTTCTAGCAGCATTTCGGGCATCAAGATGAACTCAAATGAAAATGATGCAGTGAGATGAAATGATGTGCTCTCTGAGACGAACATTTTGATATGCTACACACGCAAAACGGAGTTACAGGTGCAAAGTTACGACATGATGAACAGGGCAAAATATTTAGGATTTCGGGCAAAAAAAAGTCAACCATCCAAATCCTCAGATCCAGATCTGGCGCGGATTTCGAGGATCGCCGCTGTTACTATTCACCGGTGAGAGCTGGGGCGGCTGGAGCAAGAGGTGGTCCGGTGGGGGAAGTCGCGGGACGGGGCGGAGGAGGTCGCCGGAGCCGGAGCTCGCCGTGGTTTCGGCGGGCGGCGGGCGGAGCGCGCCGGCACCGAACGCGGGGCGGCTTGCGGCGGTCGGTGGCCGAGGCGGAGAGGCGGCGGCGGCGGCTCGTCAGCGTCGGGGAAGGAGAAGGGCGCGGGTGGCGGGCGGATCTGGCCCGCGGGAGGCGGCGACTCGGGCCGGGGGGCCCCGCCTGGGCCCGGGCGGGCCGGCGAAGTGGGCGCGGGCGCTGGCCACTCCCGGAGCGACACATGGCGGCGGTGGGATGAAGCGGACGCGTCCGGCCGGACAGAAAAATGTCCGCCGGCGCGTGGAGACGAAGGGGACTAGGGTTTCGGGGGAGGAGAAAGGGAATTTCGGAGGGGGTTCTTTATATAGGCATAGAAGGAGGTAGGAGAGTCCAAATGAGGCGCGGTTTTCGGCCACGCGATCGTGATCGGACGCTCTAGATGATGGAGAAGGTTTTGGTGGGTTTTGGGCCAACTTGGAGAGGTGTTGGGCTGCAACACACACGAAGCCTTTTCGGTCCCTCGGTTAACCGTTGGAGCATCAAACGAAGTCCAAATGGTACGAAACTTGACAGGCGGTCTACGGTAGTAAACCAAGGCCGCTTGGCAAGTCTCGGTCTAATCCAGAAATGTTTAACCCCCAAACACAAAAGAAAGGTAGAAAAGACCACCGGAGGAGAACGAAGCGCCGGAATGCAAAACGGACAACGGAGAAAATGCTCGAATGCATGAGATGAACACGTATGCAAATGAAATGCACATGATGACATGATATGCAATGCATGCCACGCAAGCAATGACAAGGCAACAACAGCGAATAACTGAATGACACCTGGCATATCGGTCTCGGGGCGTTACACTTCAGCCGGCGACGTCCTCCAGCGACGGTGCGGCAAGAAGAGGGGGAAAGGAAGGACGATGGTGCGAGGAGTGCTAGCTACGCCCGACTCGCCCAGGGCTAGGCGACGCGGGGTGACCTTTTTTTCGCCGAGCAATCAAACGTGGAGTTAGCCTTTTCTCATGGGACCAATCAACTACATATATTGTTATTCCTTTAATTTTGTCCAAAAATTCAACCAGTTTAAATTGATCTGGTATACTTCCTGAAAAAGAATTTGCAACCAAACAAGTGGTGATGCTATTGTACAACAAATTCGATGTCAGGAAATCATTATACCCTTGGTCCTAAAAAAGATTATGGTTCCTCTGCCTTTCATTGGTGTTGCCGCTGGTCCGCCTCGTCTCCGGTGGCCTTAGGGCCATGGGGCGTGGTGGATCCCGGCTCTTACCGGCGGGAGGGCTCCGCTTTTAGACGTTTCTTTAAGTTTTATTAGGTTTTTTGTCCTCAGGAAGCTGAGTCGGGGGCGTCACCCTTGAAGATCCGTTCCGGCGGTGCGTCTAGCATCGTTGGTGGACATGTGGAGGTTTGTATTCCGCGGATCCGTCTTTGGTTTGGTCAGATCTGTTCTTCATTCGTCTATGCTCATGTGTCTTCATTTGAATCCTTTTGATATATGCTACTCTTTATCAGGGGTGTTTGTTGTTTTGATGCGCTGGTACAACGACTTCCCGACTATCTACTATAACAAGTTTTGCTCAGCTCAGGTGATGGAGGGCCAATGACGGCAGCACGCCTTCGGCTCGCTTCAGTGCTTGTAGTCGTCGCTAAATGGTCTACGAATATGGATGTAATTTTTTATTATTTATGGTGTTTGTTGTACTGCCTGATTGAAGATAAATATATGGGAATTACTTTCTTCGTTCCTAAATATTTGTCTTTTTAAAGGTTTTAAATGGTGACTACATACGGAGCAAAATGAGTGAATCTACACTCTAAAATGTGTCTATATACATCTGTATGTGGTGACCATTTGAAATTTCTAGAAAGACAAATATTTAGAAATGGAGGGAGTAAAAAATCATTCTGCCGTTACACAAACAATAAAAACAATTTCTCAAAAGGAAAAACAATAATGACAATTTCTCAAAAAAGGAAAAAAGACAATAACGACAAGCAAAGGCACTCCGCTCCCCGTCTGTACGCCATGGGGGAGATCAGCTCGGCGGGGATCTCCAACATCCCACCTACGCAGGTGCCTTTACCTTCCGCTCCCCTCTCCCCCTGGCCACCGGCCGCGCTCGCCTGAGATCTGCCGGAGCTCCGGCCTCCGGCACCCCTCTAGAGGTTAGGGCCATTTTATTGCTAAACTCTATGTCAGCAACCTGCATCCTCTGATTCAACACCGTTGTAAGTTCAGTTATATGCAGTGTGTCGGTTCAGCCACAGTTATGATGATTCGACGGCTGAGATGGCGGAGCAAAATGGACGGTCGATGCAGCACCAAGCACTGCCTTTCTTCAGTTACTGCCGCTGTCCTTTTTCTTTTTTACCTTTCTTTGCAAATTAGTGAACTAAGGCCAATGATGATCTCTAGTTCTACCCCTTCCACATCAATTATTTTCTCCAACACCTGTGATGATATGTATCATAATTAGCGACAATTCAATTTGTAGCTATACTACATAATCAGTGATAATAAACGTGCAGAAGTACAAAATTGCAGGGATCTACCAACATCTCACGCACAAGAACAAATACAAATGATAAATTTCGTTAGCCACCTCTAATACCGCACTTGTTGCTTGAATTAACAGGGCCCACCTCTCGCAATATATGAGATAGCTCCTTCAAGTCTGACTCTCTGAGCTCGTGTCGAGAGTGCAGACACAGATTACGTAACAGACTTGTTGCCGCATATATGTACTTGCCATCATGGATCAAGATCATATGTTTCAGTTTCTTAATGAAGTCTGGTTCCTGCAACACAATCAAGCAATTTTGGGCACTTTCTGTTGTCAACATTGCCAGGGCTTGCCCCACGGCCTTCCGTGACAAGTGATCAGCATTGGCAATCATGGGATTTTCTTCATTGAGAAATGTCTGCTTCAGCCTGGTGATGATCAGTTGAATGCGACCTATGTCCTGCCTTGTGTTCCCATCAATGGCAATGTTCATGAGGATTCCGGCCACCAACTTTCTCGATTCCTGGCTGGTTATGTTGTCTTTCAAGATTTCTGCAAGGTTTCTCAATAGAAAGGGATGTTTTGATATCTTGTACCGCAGTGTTATGCCGATTTCCCCGCCAATGCCTGTGAGCCTTTGCAGTACCTTCAGTGATGACTTCAACATGACCTTTTGTTCTGCCTCGGTATCCATAGTGCTCATGGCACGTACAAATCTCGTGAATCCTATGATTTTCGGGATGAGGTTAGTTGCTTTGCTTATTTCCACGCAGTTTTCCTGATCACCAGCAAGACTTTCAATAATTGACATGGCCAGTGCAGGGAGAAGATCATGGTCTGTTGACGGCTGTTCCTTGGGAAGTGAACGTAATTCTTTAATCCGCTGCCAGCATCTGATTATGTAAGAGTTCTTTTTGTCGACCAAAGGTTTTTGGGTTGAGCATGTTTGTGTTTCCTCGAGCAGGTAATTGGTGTCTTGAAGTGGGTCTTGTCTTTGCGATTGGTTAACAGCTACGTCCCTTACTGTATGATGTTCTTGCTCTTGGCTATCTTCTGTCTTTAGAAATTGATCTTGCCTTTCTTCTTTTTCATCATCTGTGTCCAGAAGTGGATTTCCTCTCTTTGGGCTGCTATCAGCGTCAAGAAGTGCAGATACAGTCTGCATCGTGCCGGGGAAGGCGACAACACAGAGGTCCTTCGCAAGTTCAGCGGTGACCTTTGCGGCATATAATCTGATAGTTGTATCCTTTGGACTTGTCCAATCCAACATCCTGATTATTCTTGCCACAGTATTGGTGGAAGTGGTGAGTTTTGACAGGAGCTGTGCCCTGGTTGGCTGCCATTGCAGAAAGCTGTGCATCAGACGAATACCGTGGAGCTGATTCTTGGATGAATACGAGTTTAGAGAATCCATGGCAAAGTTGGTCAGGCTGATCTTCTTTGGAGCAAGCACACCCTCCTGCATACATTTCTCCAAGGCGTATGCATAGTACACATTGACAGATTCTACTCCACACTGACCTCTAAACCCACCACGGTGGACAAGGTATCTCTGAGGGATGAACGAAAAGAACTCGAGCATGCAAACCAAAGAATAGAAGATTCCTTGTCCAAGCACCATCCCATAGAAGATTCTGAGAGATGCTTTGAGGTTCTCGTCGTCTTCCCCATACTCAGGCACATGCTGAAGGCCCAAGATTGCTAGCACGATACGCAACACGGCTGCTGGAATCTGGAAGTTGCCAAATGACAACACCGCTAAGGCACACACTTGGATTATCATACTCGTAGAAATGTCCACGAATACATCTAGGCGTAGCATGTACATCTGCATCCCTAGCACAGCAATCATGCACAAGTTTATAATAACCTGACGCCAAAATACTTTTTTGCTGCCAAGAGTTCTGTCCACTAGTTTGATGATTCTTGTAAACCGTAGCCTGCTTATTGTTACCAATAGCACTGGCACTAGTAGTGTTGTGAACACTACCCATCTGGTCGATGGATCTATGTGAGTTTGATCCTCATCATGACCATATATGTATCGACGACTGCGGTCTGATAGAGAGGGAGCTAGTAATAAGATTGCAACTAAGGGGCTCCATAGTGATGTGGCACGGCGTAGAGGTTTGCATATGTGCAGTTTCAGCCCAGACAGGAACCGGCCAATTGCAAGTATTACTGTCATCAATAGAAGCTCCATACCAGACATGTATCTATTTTTCTTCAAGAGGATCACGAAAACATCAAAAAAGCATACTACCGCAACCAGTCCATTCCAGACCATCTAACATATAAACGCTGCTGTGTTACCCGCCATTCTAGCGCACTTGCGCTCGCGAGGCCTTTTCCACCCCACGATCGATTTACTGTCGCTCGTTTTACCGTGTTGTCGGCTGGTCAACCGTCCGTCTCTTTTACACCCGCAGGCTTTGGCTGAGATTGCATGACCGGTGGGCTCGCTCATTTGTGGGGCCAAGAAGCAGTGGGCGGGTTGCGCGCCCACGGCGTCGGCGAGTGGCTGGGTCTGGGATTGGGCAGATGAAAACCTAACGCACGCACGCACATGGCCTTCCCCCTCCCTCACTTTTACTCCCTCCTGGCCGCCGCCGCCATCTCCTCCTCTTCCTCCTCTCTCCCGTAGCTGTAGCAGATCCACCTCCCCTTCCTTTTATTCATCCTCCACGCGACCATCAACGATGCGTGGTTCTAGATCGGACGTCTCCATGGAGAGCAGGGATGAAGAAGCAGTACAGGCCTGCGGTGGGGCGACCCGAACCGAGGAGAACTCGGCGACAGGGAAAAGAAGCAGCAGTGGCAGCGCTTGTCTCGGTGGGGTGGAGCTGCTCGGAAGATGGAAGGGGACTGTCGACTTGCGGGAGGAGCAGGCCGGCCCTTGTTCACCCTAGAGACACTTCCGACGCCGCAAGCCAGGGCAGCTCGACCACAGGTGAGCAGGTCTCTTTCCTTTCTCTTTTCCCGTCTCTCTCTCTCTCTTTTCCTCACTTTCTACCCTGAAGAAGCCCGCAGGAGCAGTAAACCATGGAGGATTTGGAGGCTGCTCACGTTTGTAACAGTAAACCATGTAGGATATGGGGGATGCACGACATTAGAGCAGCAAACCATGTCAGGCAAGGTAAAAGCAACACACAGTCATACTGCTCAAACCATGGATGTTTGGGAATTTTTTCTTAAGATCTATATGATTTTTGTCTGAATAGTTAAAGTATTTCTTTGGACTACTTTGATTCTTTGAAAAAATTGTGAGAAGTAAGATGGTTGGCTTCTCATGTAGAACTCAATTTACAGTTACTATGATTTTTTTAATTGCCACTATTTTCCCTTTTCAATTTATAACAAGATATGTGCTTTTATCAGGTTTACACAAAAAAGATTCAGGAAATCTAGATTGGGGGAGCAACAAAAAGCTTCAGATGTGTAAACTAATATATACGTTACATAACTTTTTTGTGTTTGCAGCATAGTCTAGAAATTTAGTGTAGAGAAACTAAAATAGTTCAGGATAAAAAGGTTGTTGTACAAAACGAATTGTTTGTCCCCCGTTTATCTTGTCATTTTGTTACAAATGAAAACATAGTCGGGAAAAATCATGGAACGGTTTCTGTCATGAAGCATGAGAATGATAGTACCTGAAATTGCGAGAGCTGGCCTTCTATCTTTTTTTTTACAAGTACTCTGTTTTTCGTAGCTAATAATGATGTTTGCAGCTTATAATTACTGAACTATCCGGCGTGGTGTGGGCATGTTGTAATTACATCCTTCGATATTTCTGTGCAATATTTGGTTCATTTGGTATTCATAAATTTATTTATGTCCAGTAGGAAGGAAGATGCATGAAGTTCCTGTTTTCTTGGGTGACCTCAGTTTCCTAATGATATCTTCATAGCATACAGATGGTTGCCAATTAGCTTATATCAGTTTCCTAATAATATCTTCATAGCATACTTTTTTGGGATAATGGTGACCAAAACGCCCCGGTTTCTCTAAGTTGTAGGAATGAAAATCTTGAATTGCTTTTGATGGATTTCTCACTCATCAAAATAAAGCCACCAGCCTTCACATAGAGGTTGATTAATCACTTTGGCCAGTCGTTCTGTTTTTCTATGTTGCGGAATAGGAATGTCGTATGATCATTTATTTCCTCTGCGTCATTTTAAGTTCTACATCTTATCTCTTATTATGATAAATCATCAATATCATACGTCTATTACTCTTCCTGATTCTACATATTGTTTTCAGTCATAGATTTAGAGTGTTTTTTTTTTCATGTTCTTGCAAAGCAGAGGTGTTTAAAAAACTATAGCTATTTTACTGCTTCTCGGATGCTATGAAATGCTTATACTAAAATTCACAAATATGTTCATGTCTTTCTATATTTATACAATGTATGTTGTGTTGCTCAATGCTCACTACCTCTGGTATTAATCTCTCTTGCATTCCTTTACTAATACCATTATCTTGTGCTTCTAAATACTACAATCTGATCAAAGCCTTACGCCTCTGCAAAATGGCGAGGTCTTCATGGCACTAAAATCTGGTATTTACCTCCATTTTCCGCCGTCAACTGTTAATGAAAGTAGTACGATGCCTAATTTTGCCTTCTGTTGATTTTTTTTCTTAAGGTAACTCTAAACTTAGGTTTATGCCTTCGCTAACTTTAATTTTGTGTCCTGATGCTATGGCCTAATTTTTTCTATTGTCCTTGAGCACCCCCTAGCTAATATAGTGTGAATAGGGGTTTAGTTTGCTACTTATACAACAATAGATCCATTTTTGTAGCTGCCAGATAGTATTCTTCCTGTCCCAAAGTGAAAGCATGGTTTCTCATGTTAAAACCCCAAGATATTGTATAGTATCTGATGACCATCATCACAATATTAACAAATGATCAGTAATTGATTTCTTTTTTGAGAAAAAGCCCTGCGCTTATAGATTATCAGGGTTCAGGTTACAGTCATTTGAAATGAACTGTCTCAGCACGTCAGGAACATTAGCGATCAGTAGACTGTCTCCATGAGCTCTTGCATAGTCAGCCAGTTTGTGAGGCAAAACATTGCGTTCTCGATTGATTGCCGAGGCTGACGCCGATGGAAAGGAATCCATCATATCTTTCACATCCAAAATGAGTGGGAACAAGGCCGACTTGTCCTGTGATTCAGGTTGGAGCAGGTTTGAGACCGCAATGCAGTCTGTCTCAATGCAGATGGCACCTCTCTATACTTTCTGCAGTTCCAACAACCCCACCTGTATGGTCGTTAACTCTGCCTCATCAACATTCTTGCATGGGAGTACTCGCCTACAAATTGACAGTGCCACAGCCCCGGTCTGACCTCTGACCACAACACCCACACTGCTATGCCCTGTTTCAGCACTAAAAGAAGCATCTGCATTCACTTTCCATACGCCAGCCCCGGGTGGCTTCCACTGGTTGGTTTTAACGTGTTGCACCTCATGCAAAGGATCAGCTATAGCCGACCAGATACTCTTCCCTCTTTCATCATTTTTCTCCCAATGGCTTCCCTTAAAATCCTTCCAGTAATTCTGTAGAAAGGCGACAGTCAAGACATGAGCTATCCAGTGTAGGTTCAGACAATTCATTCATTCATTGCAGGTTCGGCATGTCTCATTATGTCTTTTTGCTTCATATTCAGGGTCAAACTGGGCTACATTTCTTTCATTGAGGCGAGGGTGATTCCAGCAGGTGAGGCGCAATTTAGACATCTGGATGATGTCTTGCTATGTCCAGGTGGTACCATGTCTGAATTAAGATTTCCCTTGCAGATTTTGCTTGGCGTATTCGCCTTTTTTCTTGAAGTTGGGCGTCAATCGTCTCTGCAGCAAGGTAAGCTTATCCCATTTAGTTTGTTCAACCCAGAGTCAAGATTCATATCATCTTCACTGTCATTTCATTTGTGAGCATTTATTCCATTGATCTATGCCGTCGGCACCCTGACGATTTAGCCTTTTCTGCTGATCACAATTGCTTGCATCTGCCATCTCATTGAGGAAATGCCCCTGCTCCTTTTAATTAAAATTAATGTGAAATATGTTTCTACCAAAATTAATGTGAAATATGTTTCTATCAAAATTAATGTGAAGCACTATTGAGACAATGAATTTCAACTATGTTATGAGCCAAATCATATTAAGTATGTGCATCCTTGCTGGAATGCTTTCTGTTCATGAGCTGGTCTCCCAACACGTATTGTCGAGAAAAGAAAAGAAAGGACCTTTTAAGTTCTTAAGAGGATCAAGAGAGCTTCTAAGTACTAACTGTCACTCCCATCCTATCCTAATTGAAACGCATTAGCCAACTTGCCTCAGCGATGTTTAATTTCACAAAAGCTCGCTCCTTCACATATATGGTAGTTCTTTTCCTGTATTATTACTTAAATGGTTGATGGCCTTGCTTGATGCTTGCAACGTGTTTGATCGTTAACATCTGATGCCATGTTTTCTCCATGCAGGTGTCTGGTAGAATTACTAGAAGTAGCGGATCTACTTTTATTTGCTGTCCTTGCTTGCCATCAACTTATGCCAACGATGCAAGGTATGATGCTTGATTAATAGCTATTCTTAGAGGATGGATCCAAATATTGTTTAATTTGCCGGTTCTATACTTGGTTGCAATTTTTTACTGAATGAATGGCTCACGTTTTTTTGAAAAGGAGGTTAAAACCTCTGGCCTCTGCATCAATCGATGCATACAATCATCACATTGTTACGTAGCCTAACATATATGTACATTTTCTTCAAGCCTTAAAGTGTAGTTAGCACAACATACATACACACTTTGGTCATGGGATTAGCTTTCTCATTAAATTATTTAAATTGGTAGCTCAGAAACTAACTCTATAGGTCTATTAAATCTTCTGTAGACCCACATATTTGATATTACCTGAAAAATAAGGAGGTTACCTTTTCCTTTTAATACCTGGAACCAAATTGTTTGATACCAATTATATCTGGGCGCAGTTTCATACAAGATACAGCTTAGTAGCAAAAAAATTTGCCCTCTGTCTTATTTCTCCATACATTGGATTCATATTTGTTACAAATTTACATCAAGAAGCCTTTAGGCATTTGTACTTTCAGAATCATTTTGAAACTGTGGTTCAGAGCAGAGGGCATTTAATAAGGATGGTTCTATTTCTGAATCTTGCTCTAATCCCTAAAAGGTGAAATTGGGCATGATTTTGATATTTGTTTTACAAGATATTACATCAATTTTCTGGTTTGGGCATACTGATAATTGTTTTCTTCAGA